GATGTAAAAAAACAAAATCGGTCTCAATACGGAGTAAAAACGCCTAGCTGTGTGATTTAAGGAAAGTTCTCGGTGCCACGTGGAAACAAAAGCTCATTGTCCACATATTTGAAATCATCTGCATGTAAAGTCGGTCATTTTTTCCCTTTTTATCCTCAGAGCTCCGTGAAGCCTAAGATGCCTCAGCCAATCAGATGTGTGTCCTGTGGTGGCCATACTCTCCCCTGAAGCGTATTTTCGTTGGTAATCAACGAACTACACCTCTAGAATGGCCGGCAGATAGCAAACTTACGTAACATGCATGGGCCGGTTTTTGAAGGTAGAAGGGGGGTGGGAGCCCAAGTATAGCTAACCTCAATCTCCAAATCTGCTGCGTCTTGCACACAGAGACAACTTGCACACAAGGATTACATGTGTAAATTTCAACTTTAGTAAACTTTAATTATTTCGAGGTTTGCTTTCAAATTTCCTATTTTTTGAGTAAAGGAAACCTTTTGAGATGCGATTATTATGCCATATTTTCATTGTTTTATTCAACAATATTGGGCAAAATGTGGGCAGTGTCTAACATGGGTTTAGATGGCAGCCTGCCGTGTGAGCCCGAGTAAACCTAACCTATATCAACTTCAAAACGTTACGGGTCTCTAACACTGGTCAGCCATTCTATGATCGGTCGAGCCAAAATGCCACGTCAACGGCGGCGAGATTATAATCGGGTTGGTAAACATTTGAGGTTAAACTTTCGAAATTGATGCTGGTCGGATAGTATCATCTTCATCAGGTCATTTCTAAACCCTACTTTTTGTAGGTTTATATTTTGGCTCCAACGTTTGCAAGAGTTCCACCTTCTATCCGTCTGGTGAGTTCCGATGTTGTTCCGAAAAATTATGATCGCGTCAAAACAAAATACGAAATCCCCATTTTGGTTCGACCGATCATCAACAAAAATACGCTTTTTAAAGGGGCCTCAGGCATTTTCCAGTGTGCTCCCTCGAATTGAGTAATGTATTGTTGGTAGAGCTAAAGAATTCATAATGTTGGGAATATAATAGGAAGAGTGCGTGCGGCGAGCGGCACTATGCAGAAGCCCGGAAGCGGAAGGTTTGCAATGGAATGGACATGAAGCTGATCCAACTATGCGTAGCTGGGGAGCTGAGTGGCGGAGGATCGATGGGCAGGGGGTAGGAGCCCGGTTATGAGCCCCGGGCACGCGGCAGAGACACCGTTTTATGATTTAGCGTCGCCGTAACATGCAAAGTTGAGGGGAAAGGGATAGCGACGAAATCGGAGGGATGAGCGAGTCACGTGAGAGCGATAATCTCTCGTATCTGCCGGCGCGCTCGCGGGCCCCCGTCTACCTCCCCAAGGGGGTCGACCTGGCCTCCGGGTCCCCGAGCCCTGCCTCCGTCTCGGATACCGAAGCCGACGCCACCGATGAGTCGGCTCCCGACAGCCTAGAGGCCCACCAGACCCCCGAACCCGTCGAACCCGAGTGCCAACGACCCGGACCCCCTGCAACCGCAACTCCAACCACAGCCACGTCCGACATGTCCAGGGTAAGCCAATCTCTCTATCCTCCCTCCTCATTTTCTATCCTAGCATCGCAGCTCAATATTCTCCTTTTTATGAACACTTTTGCTCTCCTCCACCGGAGTTCCAAATGAGGCAGTCTCAAAGAATTTTCCTGAGTTGAAGTATAGGTTTTCTTACGTATAATTTCTTGTAAAAATCAAAAAGTTCATTAAAAACTTTAAAAAATAATTTCTTACGGGAGAACATTTAAACCAAACGCCGACCAATCAATCGCCTTAATAGTCGAGTCAACGTAGCATGGCGATGCCTAAGGTTAAGCTTAACCAAGAAGAAATTTCAACTAATCCTAAATATTAGACGTTTATTTTCTTTTCACGAAATTAAAAAAATAAACTTTGAAAGAAACAAATTGGAAAGTGCTAATATTTTGGCTACCGGAAGGAGGTGAAAGGGGTAGGTGTGGGTAAGGTTGCTCCCTCCCTCTCAAATTCATGTATAGTTTCAAGGGTAATAATTCTTCAATGTAACTTCCTCAAATAATACTCAAAAAAGGTATAGAAATGCGTTTATAATGAGAGGTACCTAGATCTGAGGGGACTATGGAGAGAAGGGGGAGACTTACAGGGGGAGGGGGGCAGTCTATGGGTGGAAAAAGTATTTTGGGCCTTGGTTATGGAAGACGAGTGTGAAAATCATAAAATTCTTCAAAAAAAGAGTGAAATAAGCATCGCTGCTATCAAATAGCCATGTATTCTCAATATGGGCCTCGCAGGCCCGGCCTAGGCATTCGTGCAGGTAAAAACGGTTAGTCATCTAAGGGTTAAACGGGGGAAAAAAAAACAATGTCAGTGGCTACTATATTCCTCAATAAGATATGATTGATGCTTTGTAGCCCGTGGCAAGATGTACAATAATAAAATAAATTACACAGCGGGTAACAAGGCTAATATTCACGTAAAATACTATCGAAACGTTTCTGCTGAAAAATCAGCCCTCTTCAGTTGGATAAAACAGTAAAAAATGTATAAATCTAAAAACGTAGTACTTGGTTGTACCTTTCAAAAATGTCAACCTGGTTAAACCAATACTGATTGAAAAATGCATCGAAAATGAATCACATGCAGTCTCGGAGATATTGGAAAATGAAATCTTACCGATGAAAAGTTTTACATGAAATTTTTATGCATTCAAATCATGAAATCACACGGTAGAGGCAAATTTTCGCGAGTGGATTTGGTCGACTTTTCTAACCCGATCGGCATGGTTGCAAACTAAAGGAGAAAAATCGCTCTGATACTACCAAGAAATGAACTCAGCTGCTTGATGAATTTTGGCCAACGTTTGCAGTCATCCACTTTTTAACCCACCTCGGGAGGTTGGTCGAGAATTTTGGATGAGGTCGTCATTGCTGTCATCATGAAAACCCAATGTTGTAAGCGAACCGTCGTCCGGAGGGAATTTCGTTCTGTTGTAACGGAGGTTGGCAGTAAGTTAAAAGCTTCGACCGAATGCACTCGCAAAAATTTGCCTTTGTATCTAGTAACATTGGGCTTTATGGTAGGTTGCTTATCGGCGTTGATAGACAAAGTAAAAGATAAAGACGTCAAAGAGAAAATGTAGTAATCCTATCGGTTGAAATTGGTGGTTTTTATAGATTATGGGAGAACATGGTGGGCTATAGAGTACCTATATTAAGAGAGTATGGCCACTGGGTCCCATGGAGAGGCTTAGGACCCAAAAATGGCGGTGCTTTGTTTTGGTTTTTGAGGATGGGAGGGGGGTCATTGCCAACTTTTGACGGTTATCACCAACCGCACTTGCTGCCAACCTTACTACATCTAAGATAATTTTTCTCAAAAATTGCACACGATTAGCCTTAAAAATATGTAAAGATGTCGCAATGGTGCATTTGAGTAAATTTCTCGTTACGATAAGCAAAGAAAACTACATTTTGAGTCATTTTGCATTACATTAATTTATGGCGTCCGCCATTTTTGGGTCCTAAGGGCTCCATTTAGCCTAAGATGGCTGAGCCAATCAGAGGTGGTAACTTCAGTGGCCATACTCTCTCAATATAGGTACTCTAGTGGGCTATAACTACAAGGGTTGCTCGTAGGTTGCCGTGAGTCAGTCTTTTACTTACCTTCTTTGTCCATTGCAACCAGCCAACAACCCGCTTCCAGCACCGCATTTTCTCCTCGTCTTCTTTGTCTATCAATTTCTACAATCAGCCCGCGGATCCTTCGTAGTTTGCATCTCGCAGACGAGACATCATAGTCAGGGCATAGAACTTAAATTGTGCATTTTGTCAAATCCAACGAAGTGTCGAAGCGAAAAATGTTCATGACATGCAATATGCATTTTCTACCGTTCCATGTTTGAAACGTGCAACGGTAGAAAATCGTCAATTTCCTTGTGACGCAAAAAAATTTGTCAGGTGGGACCCACCGCTCCATAGCGAAACCAATTTTGGCTGACGGTATAGCCTTTTTCCCCCTCAGTTTCTCTGCATAATAAGGTTTATAGTCTAGTGTAGGTATAGATCGTTTCGGTGAAAGTTTCTCAAGTTGGGGATGACGTAGTTCCGGGTTGGATAATTCTCCGAGTGCGCGACCTCGAATTCCGGTTAATTTCAGACGAAGTTGCCACGTCTCTTCTTCGGGCAAAATCAGGTGAATATTATGCATAACGTCATGGGTTGACCACCTTGAATGAAACCACCATAATCGAGGGTTCAGGGACCTTTCGACGGTGTAAGTCGGCAATCACATTACTCGTTTGCGGTGTCTGAGAATCTCTACTTCTATGTTATTTTTTTAAAGGAGAACAAATTGACATCATTCCTTGAAGTTTACGCAGAATTTTCCTTGCATAGAGAAGAAAAATCACGGCAGGTTTAACGAATTGCCGTTGATGCAGTTTCCCGTTTAAAAAATAAAGTATGACAGTAAGTCTGCGACGTCGCAAACCGAGTTATGTGATTGCCGACTTACACCGTCGCTTTATAAGTTTCTTTGCTACAAAACACAAGATGAACATTCTGAGGCGTATTCAGGCCCGGCCCTCGCTTTTCCAGGTCGATTTTCCAAGATCTGGGTCTTGACAGTAAAAACGGAAGGAGGAGTTTAGTGATAAAAAAAAAAATTACTTTCATCAAAACCATTGTCTAGTAGGGATTTTTTTTTAATTTATTCAAGAATTTCGCCTACCATACAAGTATTAGGAAATATACAGGTTAATTTATTCTAAGACTAAGTCAAATTAATTGGTGGCCCAGGCAGGCCAGAGAAGATAATGACCAATGATGGAAGAAAAACATTCCCGGGTACACCTGAAACATGAGGAAAAGACTAAGCAGTATATGTACATAATATACAAGTACTATAGGATGTAAAGAAATATTTACAGCATTTGGATTAGAAACTAAGAAACCTGAAAGTAGAAACAAGTACATATTAGGATAAATACTAGGCTAAACGGGAGCACAGAAATTGACTAGACCACGCTACCGTGTTTCTAAGCAATCTCACCGCCACCGCCAGGCCGATATATAAACAAAAATATATACAATAAGAATGTGATATAAAATATAAAAGTTTGTAAGTATAAAAAATGGAAAATTGGATTGTCTTTTAACTGCCCCGGACCTACATAACAAAGATAAGATAACGGAAAGAGAAGGTACAGAGCAGAGATTCCCTATAACAGGGAAAATTAGTTGATCAAGTCGGTAATATCTTCAGAGACGCAGTCAAAGGGTTTTCGCCTCCTAAGACGCCTTAGTCCGACATTGTATCTGCTTATCAGATTGTATGCGTGGACAGTCTACGAGCATATCTCAATGAATGTTTCTGGATAGTTTCCACTAGTAGGAATGATTAATATCGAAGTTTTTAACATATCAATGGTTTAAGAAAGTTATTTCTGTAAGTAGGTATACGTAATACGTATACTATAGGGCTTTTCTAGAAAATGTTGGAAAATGAATGCATATTAGGGTGTCCCAAATTTGAATAATCCAAAAAATTTCCTCGGATCATCGATGTTCGATGCTTTTATTGTGTCATTATATTAAATATTTAATATCTATCACTATTTTATAGTGCTGCCGCAACGCATATTTAGTCTCGGCAAAAAGGACCCCGCACACCTCTTATGAGAAGCTGCACCACGACCGATTGCCTTCTGACTTATGTTTTTCGATTCTCCTCAAGATGCTGATCAAAAGTTATAATTGCGCCAACTTTCTACGATGCACCGTTTTCGCAAAATGCCTAAGAGAAGATTCAATTATTCGGTGACTATGAATAAAAAAGAACAAAGCATTTGAGGACAGGCCCGATGGTAATAAGGAAAAAACGTAGCGCGTGTCCGTCTTCTTATCAGTACCTGCCGACTCAGAGGCTATCTCTCTCCTGCACTCGCCCGGTAGACGTTCAGACTTTCCTGTTCTTATGCTCCTCAAGAATCTGATTTGGATGGTCGAGCAAAGCGGCGAGCGGAATCCGAGATAAGACTGCCGCTCAGTGCGGGAGTTCCCCTGATTTGTTCACTCGAGTACTGAAATGAGGAATCTTTCTGGCTTTTTATCGCCGAATAATTGAATCTTCTTTAAGGTTTTTTGCGAAAACGGTGCATCGTAGAAAGCTGGCGCAATTATAACTTTTGATCAGCATCTTGAGGAGAATCGAAAAACATAAGTCAGAAGGCAATCGGTCGTGGTGCAACTTCCCATAAGAGGTGTGCGGGGTCCTTTCGGAGACTTGCCTTTTTAGCGTTTTTGAGCAACTTTTAAAGGCAGTTAACAGCAATCAGAGGCATCAATTTTTTTTTTTTTAAAGTGACCTTGCGCAGTATACTTACAAGTAATAATGTTTGTTTTGACATTGCAAACCTTAAAATTCTACTTCCAACCCCTTAAAATCGACGAAAAACTATATTTTTCCCTTTTAAGCAACTATAGCCCATTTCACGAAACCTGAGACTTTTTATTCGGCATTAAAATCTGTAAATGGCAACGCAT